ATTTTATTGTTATTCTTTTATTACACTAACTGTTTATCGTCTGCATTTCTTTTTAGTTTTATGACTTCGAGACAGTTTTCTTCTTATATGTAGACATGGAAAATAGAGACACAAATCTGAGTAAGCAAGTGAGTAAAGGATGCGTATTTCGTAAATATTTACATGAAAAGGTCTATCTAGAAAATGAAATAAAAAAGTGAAACAAAAGAAGTTTATGTTTCCTTAAGGAGTCGATATTCTTATAAACCTTTCCTATGCAATCTATCCGTTGACAAATAGCTGTATTACTCAAATACCGTCTGTAAAATTTGATCATTTGAAATGGATCATAATCTGGATAGAATAAAATGCACTAAACGCTTTCAAAGGTATTTTTTGATAGTCTCTGACTTGCAGTTCTTCTTATTTATATGCTTGGAAATTATTAACATTCAGTACTAATGGTACTCGGAATTTTGAATTTTGAGCTTTTTCCGAATGGCCATGTGCATTATAATATGATAGGCGTAATGTGTACGAACAAAGAATTGGCATACATCATAATTTTCCAAGCCATTTTTAACAAAATGGTTGGCTCCTTTTCTACTGTTTTTAAAATTTCCTTTTAAAATTTGAGTTATCTTTACTAGAAAATATTTTTTGATGCAGTTTTGTATCCAAAAACGTTACGTTGAAACTAAATAAAATAAAAATGTACAGCATAATAGTCAGTGAAAGTTTTTAAATTTTATGCGTATGTTTTTGAGGTTGGAAACAAACTTCCATATACCCAGTACTGCATCACACATTTATTGTTTATCCATATTACCTGGAATTATTCTTACATCCATATGTGATTGAAATATTTGTATAATCAATTTTTTTCGTGTACCTTTTTAATGCTTAGCGGCCCATAAAATCCTAGAATAAGCAATATGTTCTCCAACCACTTCAGCGTCCACGAGAAGCATTAACGTCGCGTTAAGAAACTATGACCGAAAGAAATTCTTATCGAAACAAAGAAATAAATTATATAGTATATAGTAGATGTCCTCTTCCAGTAAAACAATGTTCAACCGACAAATAATTCAAATAAAAAATTAGAAAATATTTTATAGTATTCGTAAGCCTCATTCTAAATAAGAATTTAGGATAATGGTCATGACAAATTTAATAATTCAATGTAGTTAATATTTCTAAGTCTTTGTAAACCCTCTAATATTCACAGAATGCTAGATATTTGTGAGACGGTATGTTCTTTACTATACTTTTCAACAAAAGATACCATAACAGTACTGAAACATTATTCATCTCATTTAGCAGTTTCACTAATCTGAATCTGTTCTATTATATTCCAAAGACTATGATATAAGCTGCATTGAAGATAATCTGTCTTTTACAGATTATCTTCAATGCAGAATTTACCAACGTTAAATTCGGTTCGAAAACATTCTATGTAAAAGTCTAAATCCGTATTTACGATATTTACCACCATACACTCTATAACACAAGAAACAAAACATCAAAAAGGAGTTATCCGAAATTACGTATGCCCATACCTTAAGATTGAATATGTAAATGATTAACTTTTGACTATCAATGACTGACTATCTGGAGTTCCAACGCTTTGCAACTGAGCTTCCAGGTGGTATGTAAAGCGGAGGACATTCCAATGTTAAGACATAACCTCAATGCTCCACACACCAAAATGATAAAATTCCGAAAGTTAACAAAGCAACCTATTTGGGTGTGCGATTTAATACAACCCTCACCTGGAACCCCCATATTTCAACTGCTGTCAGCAAATCAACTGGTATTTCTTTGCAAACTCAACCCGATCATCAACGCATCCTCAAAACAGGATCTCACACGGAAAAGGGTATTTATACCTCAGTTCTTTGTCCCGTACTCACATATGCTTCACAGGCCTGGTGTACCGCCTTCAAGTCTGATTTCCAAAATCTCCAAACATTCCAAAACACTTTCCTGCGAAAAATCACGGGAGCACAATGGTTCATCCGTAACGAGGATTTACACAAAGCTCTTAAAACCGAAGATATCAAAAAACTCACATCGGAGGGATTAACAATAACGTTTTCAACAAAGCGGTTAGCAACGACACAGTTCACTTTACCTATAACTTTAAGTATGAACTTCTAGAAGATGATTTCAACCTCCTCCCATATGCCACCCATCTATTCATATTTAACATTAGATTCCTCTCTTTTGCACAGTCACTTTTTATTTCTCATATTTTTATATTCACAAAGACCCTAAGGGACAATTTTTGTTTCATGTAGGGCTTTCACACACAAATATCATACATAGGGCATATTATCACACCTTCACATCTCCGTGTTCTTGCACAGTAATTACAGGCAAGGGCCTACATTTTTCTAGTTCACCCATTAGTGGCAAATCCAAATAAGGTCTCATACGAGAGGAATCCTCCTTAAGGGGCATCTGAGGTGCTGGTAAGAGCGCGATGAAGTTCGCGCTGAGACCAGCCTAAAAAACAGTATCACAGTATCAAGGTAATCAAATCGCAGGATCGCTAGACATTTGGAGTCGGAGCGGTACTCCATTCGACCATGCTGGCAGAAATGGTTGAACTATGGCCGTACAGAACGTCAAGAAAGTTGACTGAAAGCGACGACATAAACGAATACAGAGTGATCATCCAATCGGCGCTCACAGCTCTTAATGCGTCTTTATTAACAATTCAAAGTGTAACTGGTACAACAGTGACTGCAACGACCATTGACCAACGACCACTAAGCAAATGGGCGCTGAGGTCACGGAGGCGATTTCGCTGACTGCCCCTCACCGCTGTACAGCGCCACGCATTTTTGCAGTGATGATACGCTCATTCGCAAAGACATGTCTGGAGATAATCGAAAAGACATGCTGGGGCATTTGAGATATTCAGACATTCCCTTCAGTTAGTGGCGATAGGTTGGTAAGGAATCTGACCTCCCAAGCTTAGACCGGATTCAGAGTTTCATCAAATGGACAGTTGATGAATGAACTTTTCTGCCAATAGCTTAACAGCTGCATGCGGGTTCTAGAGACACACAACGGCTGGTATCTTTCAAGCTAAGACTGCCTTGTGAACATTTACAGAGCTATTGTTGGCAATGCGAGAATATCCAAAATACCTTTATGTCCTCTCCATTTCTTACAGCATTTGCTGCACTATTTTCTTTTTATACTCGTAAAGATTAGCGAGTCTGATGTGTTCTTCTAGGACCACTGTTTCATTAAGAACCATGAAGGCAACAAATGCTTTAATGGACCCTGTGATTGCAAGCCAGAATTTATCTGGATGAAACTGTCTTTTCTCAGTCGTATTTATATATCTGTGAAAATCCCTTCTTTATGCGTGTTAGAACATGTTTTAAGTCCCGTCTAAAAAAAATACGTTACATATGGTATGACCTGATATATTCCATGCACTTACACGGGGCAAGTTCTCAGAGTATCGCCATTCAACAAAACATTAGGTCGTTAACTTCTCTTTTAAACTTAATCAGTCTGGTATAAGTTGAAAACTGAAACCACTAAAGACAGCACCGTCCGTCTTAATAATTTAAATACTTTTAATTAAATATTTGAAATTTTTGATAGTAAACTGTTCTTGGAAATATTATATTGTATTCTGAAGTTTTGGGGTTACAGTTTTCATATGAAATTTTTAAATCAGATTTTATTGCAACAGCTCAAATACGTTTAATTTGTAGCATGCTAAATTGCTCATTTTTTAGCATTTTCAGAGTTATTGTAATTAATAAATGATGTGTCTATTGCTTTATAGAACGATGCTAAAATTTACAAAACACAAAAAAATTAAACGATGCTAACCTCGATATTGCATTGTCTAATTTTTTGTATTATTTTTTGTTTAAAACATATGTGGTTCATAAAAAGCATTAAAAAATAAGGAGACAAAATACTTTATATACAGCAAGGCAATAAATCCAGAAAAGAAAGTGAGAGCTAAAAAAGTGCAAGCAAGCGAGCTCCCTCGCTATTCAAATGCCTATCTAATTCATTATCTCCCACATTCACATGCATGGCATTTTTATGCAATAATGAAACAAACTGCTATAAGAGATCTTACATTATATACCGAGAAATAAATAAAATCTGTCACTTAGAGTAATCGAAAGTAGGATTTTATAACTAAAGAAGGCTTGTGGTAATAATATAAAGTTTATAGCATAAAAGTAAATTTTGCTTTCTTTCTTTGTAAAATTTCTTTTACCTTTAAATTGTGAGCGAGTTCTTTTGAAGGGAGTTTGGTTCAACTGGTAATAATGTTTTCTTACTTCTGTGAAAGCTCACTTTTTCGAAGATTAATAGAAGGGTAGTAGAATGTTTTTTTAAATGAGCTAATATGACTGATTCTTATAGAAACGCCTTAAAAATCAGTAGGGAGTAATTTGCCGGTACATGAAAAAATGATGATAACAAAATCGCGTGAATAGGTTTTAAGTTTGTTATGCTTCATTGTTATTATCTACAGTTTTAGAAATCGTTCCCTGGAATCTTAGGTTAGTTCAAAGCAATAAAATGTCTGATAATGTAATTATAGCATTATAGTTATTTCCATTGACTTTTAAATTAATTAATGGTAAATTTCAAACAAATCAAATCGCATTAGTTTACATTCAATTGTAGATGTCAAAAGCTTTGCCAGTGTAGCTTTCAGTTTTTCTTTTATTTTATATGCATATTGGGAAATCATATAAAGTACCGAATTCGTTGTGAATGCAAATTTCAAAATATTGCTCGTTTAGATGATAATTTCTAGAATATTTCCCGGTGTTTTTCAATACGCGTGATATAGATACGAACCATTTTCTATCGTTCTTCCAGAAAAGTAGCTCTTCCAAGGCAAATAGCCCTCACGTGCAACGCCGCAATCAATTTTCTGGCTACTTACCTTAACATTTGCTATCCTACTGAGTATTATTATAACTGCTATGATCGGGATTCTGAGAAAAGTATTTTTTTTTAAGATGACGACTCGGGAACATTTGTTGCTATACTAGGTGTTGTTATTGGAGCTGTAGCAGTCTTGCTCCTTCTTGGGCTTATAACCATCTTTGCCGTAAAGCTGCAGTTGAGGAGGAAAATGTTTAAAGGTAAGTATCCCACTATAATAATTCATTAAATTAAAAAGCAGAAGAAATCTGTAATACGAATTTAACTAGCAATGATTTTGAAATAATATGTCTGAATTCTCAATAAATGTGCAACACAGGATGATCTACAAGTCAAGCACTTCAAATTTTCAAAAATTGGAGAAATTCCAAATTAGATATTAATGGCAGATTGTTTCAATGTCCGTCAACCTTATTCTGTTACAAGTAATACATCATTTGAAATTTTAGCTGCATCTTATGCCGTTGGCTTTTAAAACCGTTACTTTGGTGCAAGATACGGATGAGATATCCTCAAGAAAGACGAACTTCTGTGACTGAGCATCACTTCGCAACACATTCTGAACGAAACTTTATTGAAATGTTCAAAGACCCTTTTCTGTATGTTCGTGAACCTAACAAGACAATTTGCAGCTTGGTAACCTTATTTCGAGAAACTGGAAGCGTTCACCACAAACCATATCACATCTACTACTTACCCTCAAAAGCGTGTTGAAAGAAATATTTCTGCGAGTTTTCGCTTTCGGGTTATCTGACTGGTTGACTTACTCGAAAACCACTTCTTTGGGAAAAACCTAAGAGGAACGCAATTATAGGCGAAACATTTTCACCTCAGTTGCAAAATGTTCCATACAATTAGCCGAGACTTCGGTTCCAACGAAACATGTTTCGCCTAAAATCCTTCAGTGGTACGAGAAGGAAAAGTTAATTTCTCCAAAACATTTCGCTTAACCCCCTGGCGTCACTAGAAGTGATAACCCCATAAGAAGCGAAGGGCTATTCCGAGTTGAGAAAATAGACGGAGTTAGGAATTAAATGAACAACCGACAGAGAATGTGAAAAAGATGGCATCGCAATAAAATCTATGCATTGCATAGTAATGCTAACCACAGAAATTCATTCTCTACTTGGGAAAACTCATCTGTATCTTGCATTAAACAAACGGTTAATAAAGCTAACATTTTATTTATTACCTACATACACAGAGGTATTATACATTGTATAGAGATGTCATCTATTGAAACCATTGTGCCATTTAATATAAATTTTGTAATTTCTACAAATTTTAAAAATTTTGATTTTGGGAACCTGAATTACCTTTACATACATCTATCTGTATCTGTAGGTTTATTCCAATTAAAATGCAATTTACAGAAACTATGTTCCAATTGACTTCCTAATTATTAGAAATTTCAATTTTAAGATTTTTAAAAGTTATCAGTTTGAGAGTTACTGAAACTGTCAAGTTATTACTTCATAAAAATTGCTAGTAAAAATCTTGAAATATGAATTAAATTATTAGAAAGAAACACTGTTTAGTGTTGAAAGGCTTTCATTTTTCCTTTTCTTCCTTGTTGTTCAGTATACGTAACAATCTGTTCAAATATATGTTTGAAGCTTTTAGGTGATTTAACGCAGTCCACTCATAAATCCGCTTTATTTGTAATTTTTCAACGCACTGAAATGGTGAAGGTATATTTTAGAACAGTCTCTAAATTTTCTTGAAAGACCCTGTATAATTTCATTGCTGTGCACTTTTAGTTGACTGTAAGTAAACAATACTAATTTTAACATCTAATTTACGGAAACTGACTGCGTACATCATAACAAATCAATATATTTTATGGAATCTTTTGAAGTCACATGCTCTTATTGAAAAACACTTTGCAAAAATAAAAGCTTTAAAAGTTTTTTTAATAGTCATTCAAATACTTCTTTTTCTCCCTTTAAATAAAATAAAAGTTTTAGGCAGTCAAAAATTCAGACGGCTTCTCCAGTTTTGTAGGTGTCCCAATAAAATATTTTCTTCTTCCAAATAACCGAAGGAAATTATTTTCATATTTACTTTTAGAGCTTTCTTCTTTAGGATATTTTTCAAATAAGCATTTGCTTGAATTACCTGGCGCACATATTAACCGTTGTTAGTTTTATTATCTCAATGTTCCCATAACGACATGTTAGCATAGTCGTTTAAGCAATGTAATTGCCATATGTAGACTCTACAAAGCATTTACAGTAATCTGGCCTAAATGATAATCCAATAGCAGATAGAGAAACAAAAACTGGAAGAATTATTACTTCTTATAAATAATTCACCACTCGAATTTCACGGTTCTTCCGTTTTTATTTTCGAAGATTACTTTCAATCAACAAGTCAAATGTTGGTATCACAATAAAATTCTTACTTATTCAATGTGGAAATACAATTTAAAAGAATAGTAACTAACTTTTTAACCATTTTCTATAAAAAAAAAAAACTTGTTATAAGTCTGTATGACACTATGTACACGATGTTATCTGTCACCGAAACTATTCTAACTGTTATCTGATATAATAGTTCACCGAAACTATTCTAACTGTTATCTGATATAATAGTTCACCGAAACTATTCTATCTGTTTCTGTTAACAATTTTCAATTCGCCTTGTAAATGCAATCTTAAAGGTATAAAAATAGCTTTTTCGTACTTCGATGCCTTCAAACTTATTTCTGGAAACAGATATAATTATGTCCCATTTCAGGCTTTCCTAGCTCAGGATTTTTTTAATCGTGCCATTTCAGCCTTCTTGATAGGATAGGCAAGAAGGATTCCTATTTCAGCCTTTTCATTCAATATCAACGTAAAATTCGAAAGTAAGATAGAAGTAACATGAAATATATATTAAGTGTTGTCGCAAAGACACTTCACCTATAAATTTAGTTCAGGCAGTGTTTATATAAAACATTGGTGATTACTTCTAAGACAGAAAACAAAATGTTTTTAAAATTTGATTATAATTCAGTATTATTATTAACTTGAAATAGGATCATACAGATTTATAAACAATAATCGCAGCTAAAATATTTTGAAAATTCTACATCTTGAAAATTGGAACATTGAAAACGTTTGAAGATTTGGTTAGTATCGATTCTGTATTAAAAGTACTGTTGTAAGGTATTTTCGGTATGCGTTCGTGGAGTAATTGGCACGAAGACATGCGAAAAATACCTTATAACAGTATTTTAATTCCTTTCAGCATGCCTTCGTGATGTAATTGGAAGTATACTTGACTCGTAGGCGAGAGGTCCAGGGTTCAAATCCCGGCGCATGTACCGGTACTATACATTTTTCAAGTCTCCAGCAACTAAAAAACCTAATGACACTACACAAAGCTCCAAAAAATCTTGAAAACCATCAGTAAGACTGTGATCATAGCTTTTAATAAAATAGATTCCATATTTTACAGAATTTTAAAAATGTGACTTTTGTCGTACAGCATGTTAAGCCATGTGTAGGAAAATGGATTTTTTACAACCATCTGCCAAATGGAGTTATTATGGTATTAAAACAAAGGCTATGTCTATTTTTCCAACTGAAATAATTGTTCTTTCTGCACTTTAAGAAGCCTCTTTTTTTCGATTTCCCTTATTTCGCTCACAATTTATTCTGAAGTATCTTAAAATAAAAAGCTTACATCAATATTGTCCTCTTGCCCCAGTTTTTTCCACTATTTATAATGCAAATTGTAAAATAGAAAGGGTGAAATAGTGTGACACCGGCAGAAGGAGTATTGTATCTTCTACACATATATACAGATGTCCTATTATAAGGTGGACCAACCTTCTGGAACTCACACTGCCTAATGTTCCATTTTTTCATTTCTACATTACATGCATTATGCTGCCAAGCAGCACCATCTACTTTCTCACTTCTCAACACCTCCAAAACGCCAGAATAAAGAAAGGCCGAAATGGGACTTAAGTTTTATTCAAGGAAATACGAAACAAAAATATTACTTACTTTATGCATAAATACTCAACCGCATGAAAATAATTTTCGTGAACATATATGTATTTGTGTAGATTCATATATATAAATATGGAAACACACCTATTCATATTATTTCGAATTTAAGGCACAAATGTAATTTAAAACTAAGCCAATATACAGCTTCAGTTAAATTCATTAAAAATATGTTTCTTATCGGTATAAACGATAAGAATCAGAAATCTTATCCACATAAATAAAAAATGCTAGAGTTACAGTTTATCTGAATAACTGCTTTATTCTACTCATTTGCTACATTTTTTTTTTTTTTTTTTTTTTTTTTTTTTCATTTCTAATAATCGGCAAAAATGATCCTGATAATCTACACATATGGGGTGTATTTAGGTTGTTTGAAAAACTTTAGGGCTTTGCGTAAATTTTGTTAATTTAATCCTTAACTTGGAAATAAAATTTGAAACAAGAAAATTAAGTTAAAATTTTTCATTACATCGCCTGAGTGTGATTAAAGAATTATGAATGGATACTTTAACGCTTATTTTATGTATTGTATAATGAATTTTTTTTTTTTTTTTTCTATGTGATATAAATAAATTTCAATTTGCATTTATTACTAAAGCATTGCAGTTGGGTTTCACTTAAGGAAATTTATAAAATATTTTATATGTTCTAATTGGTATTCATTTCTTAATAAAAACTTTTAAATTGCATGTATTTTTCAGGAAGAACATACCGGCCAGATGCAGATAAGTAAGTATTCAACTATATACCATTAATTACATTGATTTCTCCATTTGTTTTCTTTCCTGTTATTGCAGTCTGTAATGCGAAGTCTATATCAACTGTGTGTGCAAGTGTCACGAATATAAAGATTTATTGAAAAATTACATAAATAACAGATACCTTTTCCCCAAGCTTTTAAATCAGTTTAATAGTGGCGCCATCTGTTGTAAGTCTGTACGAATATTTCTTATTTTATTTTGTATGACGTTCTTTGTTTTCTTTTATTTGCAAACTCTGAGAATTTCTTATATTTCCAAACTTCTTTATTCGCAAACTCTGAGAAGACACTAACTTCCTTTGCCTGTAATATTTAGAAATGCAATTATGAGTTCGTTGATAATAATTATGAATATCATATTATCAAAAGACAATGCTATTCAACTCATTATTATTATAATTTGAAACAAAATATTCTTGTTCTTTCAATTAGCACTTTATAAAAAATTCTTCGGATTGATAGCATTTCACAAAGATTTAATGAACAAAGTTCCAGGCGTGGCTAAACTGTTACTTACATTTTATGTTTTATGAATGACTATTTAATCATATTAAATTTGTATTTGTTAAGACATGGATGCGAAGAGTGGTTCTATTTCAGAGCCGATTCTCATCTCAAAGAGTGCAAAGAACCATGTGTTGCCAGCAGCCAAGGTCCGGATATTATACCCGAAAAAAGCTTCTTTCAAGGTACGTGGTAATCTTGTTCCTGATGTGAATTTTTTAACGAATTGAATGTATTTGAAAGTACTTATATTCTGTGAACATTACGGAATTTGCGCATTATGTAACAAAATATTCTGACAAAGCTTAATAAAGACAAAACTTCCTGGCATAAAGGTTTAAAGTTGAATATCTTCACTTTGCTGGCTGACTCGTCTTATGCTACATCTAGTTATCAGCTTTACAAATTTTAACTTAGAGCTGAATAGTAAATGAATAATAACTAAAAGTTTTATTGATAATTAATAGCATATTTATTGATATCGCATTGAAATAACTTCTGTTCTGTACGTACAAACAGACAGACATAATCACCAGTGTTTATGCATGAGATATTCCTTTCGCTCCTCGTTCTAAAGCGATAATCTATTAGCTAACTCTCATCGATATTAACTTACAAAAGTATAAATTACACTTCACTTACCAAAACTGTTGCAATTCTCTTAAAGAATTCCAATCTAATCTAAATTCTCTTCCGGTATAGCTGGCAAGAAACGCATTCGGTAGCCAAATGTGTGCAGGCAGGAAACAATGTAATGTCTAAAAATGGTATTCCTTCAGTAATTTACTTCATAATCCGTAAATCTTAACTACATTCTTACTATTTAGATTTTCTTTCTGAGCTAAACTGATTTGCATACTTCTGAAATGAGAGATGAAAGTCAGGTGGAAATAACAAAAATGAAAACTGGGAGAGCGAGATGAGAAATGAAAAATGAAATTGGGACCAATTCAAAACTTAAAACATATGTTAATATTGTTGTTGATAATGTTGTGATACTATTATCATCAATAATACCATTATAATGTTGTCAGTGATGTTTATTAATGTTATTAGTTTTAATATTATTATTCAACTCTTACACAACTTATATTCTAAAGCCTCATATGACTATATCTCAAAGCTTTCATAACTAGAGATATGATTCATATGTTTAAATGGTGAATCAAAGTCAGGCCAATATTTGATTCATCTAATCTTCCAGTCACGCAATTTACTACGTGCAAAGGAATAATGTACATAATGCTACAGAATTTGTATTATTAATATTTTTTAAATGCAACAATTTAAACAAGATAAATAGCTGTTTAAATTTCTGAAGCAAATTCGAGAATTTTAAAAATCGTTAAATGAAGATATATCTAAATCTTTAAATGAAGGTATATTAAAATTTTCTGATGTATTTCATTTAGGCGTAAAACACAAACAATCTTTAATTGTTAACTTTAGCGTTTCTATAAAACAAAGATCTCTGGAAATTTTAAATTACAGTTTTGGACTTAGTTTTCCAGTTTTGGAACCAGGTCATTAAAACGCTTTCTTTCTGAGATATTAATCATGTCAGCCTTTAATACCAGATAATTGCTGTCTAATTTCTGAACTCTCTTTGTTATCACATCAGTATTTGGTCTCTAGTGTTCCACATTGTTTAGCATTTAAGTACGTAAATACAAAACGGCTAAGACTGGTTTTTTTTTTTTTTTTTTTTTTTTTTTTTTTTTATTTATGTACCTTTGATGAATATAAGAATCATAATTTATAGCATGACTGTTGGTACTTGTACAAAATTTCGAGTGCTTCACCCACGAAAAGCAGGTGGGGGGATGTGCTCATTAAAGGTCCTGGGTGCCAGGAGAGCTGTAGTTTTCAATCGGAAGAGAAATTCCCGTGCCTGCAGAAGTCTTCTTTACCCTAAGGCAACGTACCAAGACTTGTTCTGTGGTCCCGACGGAAATAAAACTCGAGTGGCCTTACACACTAGTTTTCGGCGCCCCTGGGAAAACAAATTAACGGTGCAGTAACTTAATTTGCTCTAATGGAAGTGCGTGAAGTATAACAAGAACCTACATTGCTTGTTTCCCACTGGTCTCTTAACTCCAACCTCTAGTGGCCGAGTGATAGAGTAGTAAATCACTAATAGTTAAGGCTGGGTATAAGAGCAATCTATTTTCGTTGAGTTTTCATGGTTCTTTCATGCAACAAAAATAATGATTCTGTACCTTCAGAATGTTTTCTGAGGAAAAGTAAATTAGACTAATAGCTGTTATATAATTTTCTTCTGATGCCCAGGAAAAAGCAAAATATTTTTCAGGTACATGAAACATCAGATTAATCTAAAAGCAATGGTGAAGTTTACTTGCAACCTCAGAAATCAGTTTTTCATCGGATATATTACTGAAACGATTATGTTGTAAAAACAGCATTACTCTCAGCTAATTTGAGTCCCTTACTTATCGCTTTCAAAGCCTTTTTCATTTAATAGAGACCTATTTTCAGTCAATAAAAGCGCGATACAGAAGATGTGTTTGAAAAGCGTTTATTATAAAAGCCTTCACTTGTTGCTAGTTGAAAGAAGAAATTACTTTTCTCTCAAAGTGTATTTACCTTTTATAATTACCATCCTACGTTTAGGAAAATAATTTAAATTATCAGGTTGGATGTATATTGGAAAGAAATGAGGCGAGGTAGAAAGTGAGAAAGTAATTTTCCAATTATAATCAAGAAAATGCCACTTATCCAGGGCATTTTAGGAAACCTTAGGGTTCATAGTTAAACCCCTAACATTTGGAGGGTTAAAGTCATAGGCAGCATTCTTCAGAAAGGAATGCAGAACTGGAAAAAAAAGAAAAACATTTTCATTTGCAGACGGTTTAGAAGTAAGGAAAACTATTTTGATGGATAAAAATTTTCCTTCAAAAAGCAAATTCCTACATTTTTTATTTTAACGTATTGAAAAGAAGCTTCGAATTCTCTTCCATATGCTGCGTTTAGACCGCTGATCCTGGAAAACCGAAAGCACTGCGGAAGTATTTGTTGCTATTGACGGAAGTATTTTTTGCAAACCTCGTGCACAAGCGATTCAGTGAGGAAACTGTACACCCGGATTAGGAATATTTAAGTTTTCCGTCATTAAGTAAGTTCAGATCTTGCCACTGCCATTAATTCTCAATAAAATAACATAATGGAAATGTTTTATCTACCATTTGACTTTTCTGATTTGAACAGATCCTTTTAAATATAAGATTTTATGTTCTATAGCTTCAGTTTCTTAAACTAATAAGTTTAGCATAAAATTGTATCTAGTGCATAGCTTAAAACTGAATTTTTTTACCAATATCAGGTTGAAATTTCTTTTCAAGTTTGCTATTTCATATATTTTTTTTTTTTTTTTTTTTTTTTTTTTTTTTTAAATTCTAACCTAATTTTGGAATGTAAACTCTTCAAAGGTTAGATTATAGCAATAAAGTTTTCAGATTGCAATTTTTAGCACCAAAGTGTGATTGATCTCGATCCTCAGATTTTCGCTGATACATTTTTGCGTCGCATTTTTGCGCTCTCATAGTATCTTTCATAGTATCTGTTCATTTAGTGTACAAACCACTTTTCAAATACAAGAATATTGCTACCAAATATTATCATCATATATTATTTTTAAAGAAAGAAAATAGCAAATATGAAAAAGTATGGAAATACTTAACACTCTATCGGGAATTCTGATTAAGATATGGTGTTTTTAATATTTGTATAAGTCAAAATTTGTATAAGTCATCTTACTAACAAAACAAAACATTAGTATCGTAAACTGAGAACATACTAAAAAAAGTAGAAAAATATATGGCAACAGTTAGCAGTCTAGTTATTATTTATCTAACATCTAATCATTAAGACACAATAAGACGCCGAACAAATACTAATTTAGAAGTCAAACAACAAAAATCAGCGTTATATTTTCAAATTTTCACAGGACTAGTTTCGATGGTTTTACTGAACCACCATCCTCAGCTGCAAAAGCTCAAATACATTTTTATGGTTTTTACCATTTGCGCTTTTGCAGCTGAGGATGGTGGTTCGGTAAAACCATCGAAACTAGTCCTGTGAAAATTTGAAAATATAACGCTGATTTTTGTTGTTTAACTTCTGAATTAATATCTAATCCTCTAACAATATGCTGCTTTAAAGACTTGTGATTTTACTCTTGAATTTTATGTGACTTAAGAGCGAAGAAAGGGATGTTTATTAATAAAATTTAAAGGACAAAAAAAAAACGAGCATAGGTTAGCAGGAGTGAAACCTAGTGCAAATTAGTAAACTGCGAATTCAGCGACAACGTGAAAACCTAAACAAAGCCTCTGGTACGAAATTAAAAATTTGAATCCTTTCAGATTTTTAAACCATTTTTTTTTACTTCATGACAATGAAGATGTGTATTAATTATCAAATGTAGTCTTGTTTATAGTGCTTTAATGTCATTTTCTGATAATTATTATTTCAGGACTTCAACCTCCTTTCAGGACGTTTAGCCTTAAACTACTTTTTTTTTTACTTAATGATGATTAAGATGTGTAGTAATTATCAAATATAGTCTTGTTTATAGTGATTTAATGTCATTTTCTGGTAATTATTATTTCAGGACGTTCAGCCTCTTTGTCAAAAGTAATCGAAGTGGAACAAGGAGTGAACCCTGCCTCAGCGCAAAGTGATCCAAGTTCTAGAAAATACACAGAATACCAATCGGTCTCTTATCCAGATGATCCTACACTTCTAGCGGTACGACTAGGTTTTTAGAAAACTTTTTTAACTTTTTCCAGTTATGATAAAAGCCATATCAGAGTTATAAAATTTATTGAGAATGTCGGTTAAAGGACAAGAATCTAACAAATTTTTATAATTTCCTGAGCTATGAAATTTACAAATTTCATATCTAAATGGTAAAAAAAGATACCGGGAATATTTAAAATATAACAGTTTGTAAAGCTGCCTTCTCACTTTCATGTTTTTGGTGAATTGTCGCTTCAGGTATAGAACAACTAAAACGTCAAAATAAATTATTGTTACTGAGAATCAAACAATTATACAAAAATTCTACATAATTCTATTTGCAACAGCAATATATAAAATGGTTAAAGACATTCCAGATCATTAAATGAAGGTAAATATATTACCAAAGTATCATGCTGTAATCGATAATTAAAGGGATTATGACAGAAGAAGTGAAGCTGTTGTGCTATCATGTCTGAACTTTATTTCGTTTATTTTCATTAATTTAAATTTAAAGACAGAATTTAATTTTAATTTAAAAGTTTTAGTAAATTAAATAATTAAATCTTTTGTTACTAAATTTTAAAATTTAAATATGTATACTAAACTAAAGTAAATCTTAAAGTTAATATTTAATTTCAGGGAGACATTTCCTTTTAAGCAAATTTTATTTTCTGTTGATTGAATTAAAACTTCTCTTTTATTCAGCTTTCATAGCATCTGTTCATTTACAAGCATTAACTTAAAGGAAAACATTAAATTAATTTACGTTTTATATTGCTGAAGTTAACTTTTAAAAGTTAATTCATGTGCTTGTTAATGTAACTCTTAAAGTTAATTCTTAATGAGAAATTTTGTAAGCAAAATTAAACTTTTGCTCATTTAATTCAAAATTTCTAGTCTTTCACTCACCTCAATGTAATGAACTGAAATGTTTCATTCGATTCCTTCTTTGAGAATTTTAACAAACCAATAAAGTTTGTTTCTAGCTAGTTGAGTAACCAATCCCAACCCCCCCCCCCCCAAAAAAAAAACTTTTTCCGCAAATGATGGACCAAAATCTTACCTTCTCTTAATTCATGAACTAAGTTGTTGATTTCCAGCCGTTAATTTATTGATTAAGCTATGATGTCTTTGCTCAATTATTTACCTTTTACAATATCTTTAACTTAAATGCATTTATTTGGAAGAAACGGTATGCCCTTCCAAATTACATCAACAGCTAAGTTTAAAACTCTAGCAACAGGTCACGCCCTGTCAAGAGAGTGTAGCGTACAGCAACTGATGGAAAAGTGGGCGGAGTTTGTTAATGTCAACGAACGTAAACGAAATGAGGAATTGATAGAACAGAAAATTAAAAACATTACCAGTTAGTAAATTTTAAATGTTCCAAGTAATGATTATATACTGGAGTCGATCGCTGTTAACCATTATTCTGAGCAGTAATCATTAAGCTGTTATTGATGCACATTTAATCTTTCTCAAAAAGTTGTTTCCTCCTAAATTGTTATAGTAATTACTGTACTTTATTAATAATACAAAGAGCAAAAATTTAATAATATATCAAATAAATAAATAAAAATATCTCATGTTTTCGCTGTATATATTCGCATCCATTTGTAATGCTATAAAATGCTAATCAGCCAATGCATAAGTTTAATAAACTGATGCAAAAATTATTTTTTCCGGATACTAGATGAGAGAAAAATGTTACTCAGGGTCAAATTGCTTTATATAAAATTGTGTACAAAAGATAAATCTACTTTTCGTGACAGAGAGACATGAAAATTTAACCATGCTCTCACTAAGAATCCAATACGAAACCATAATTACCGCAAATTCTCTTATGTCTTCAGAAAATAAATTTAAAAAAAAATTCATTAATTCATTGAACATTTTCGCGCTCTTCCAACAGAATGTCTACAGGAGCATTTCCCGAATACTGCTTGACAGAACTTACTGCTAAGGGTTCCATGGAAAACTACAGGTTCGTTAAAATCAGAAGGTCAGGTAATAACTTGTTGAGATTGATTTCACTGTTTTTGGATCCATTTACACGAAGAATATCTTGAGATGTCCGGCGAACCATCGAAGTACCATTTGCCAACATGTACTTACAACATTGGATTCTCGTTACATTCTACACCTAAAATGAAGGATCAGAAACAATGCACTACGGTTACAAGTATGCAATAAAATCGTTAGCAATTAAACCATATATAAAAGAATTCGAAAGCCAGATTTAATTATCCGTTACAATATTTTATTGACATAACAGTTTTTTTTTTTTAACATTAATAATGGTTGCTCTTACTATACGAATAACAATTACTGTTACTGAATAAATTACTATTACTTTTGTTATTATTTAGCTAAAAATAAAATGTCATTTTCGCTTGCAAGTACGTATTCAAAACATTTATTTATGATATAGAGGATGATATGTGTAATTGCTTTCTCTAGGAAAGAATGTGAATTTTGGTTTATAAATATCTGATCTTGACTCGAGAAAATTTTTCATTTTCGGCCCATTCTTTTTTCATCAGCTAGATAGAACAATTTCATTATGTTTTACTAAAGGATTCTTTTGTGTTGTATAAAGTAATAAAGACTTAGCTGGTTAAATTTCATTGGAAAGGGCTGTTATAAAATATTCCAACTAGATTTTTAAACTAACAAACTCTTTTAACTTTTTTAGTTTCATTTAATTTTCAAGCAAATTGTCCCTGCAAATTCTGGCATAACATCCACCTACAGTGTTGAATGGTGAACAACTAACGTATCAGAAATAAGAAAATGGAGATGTGGTGGGTTGTTTTACTAAAAAGAACTATTGCCAGTAGCTAGGTAGATTTGCATAATTTCGAGAATTTAAATTTTTGCTATGCGTAATACATAAAGCTAACCAACCAGTCGTAATGAATAGAAGGAAATGTTATTTATATTCATAATACCCACATCTGTCTCAGTCTTAATAACACTTACAACTCTTGCAAAAGAAAATTCAGAACTTTCGCATTTTAGTTTCCTTCCTATTTATTGTGAAAAATGGGAAACTACTCAGCCATTTCCTGCGATAGCACTATTTTTTAATTGATCAGAAATGGCTATAGAATTAAAAAGTTCGAAAATAAGTATAGAGCTGAAACATTCGAGATAGGAGTACGTACAGAAGAATAATATTTCTTTATTATAAAAAATTTATTGCATGTGTTTTAATTACAATTTAAGTTTATTAAACTATGCTTTTGTTTAATATATGGCTTTGAATAATCCTTCTGAAGAAGTATACTTAAAATATTTCACTCTAAGTATTGAATATAATCTGTATCAAATATCTAAGTACTGAGTATAATCTGTAACCAAATGCCTTCCAAAAAGGGGGATGTCATCTACCAGAAAACTCAAGAGAAGGAAAATATAATAAAGATAATATTCAAAAGGTTTACCTAACGGCTTTTGAAGAATATGTTCCGATCTAAGAAGGTCTGATAAACATATTAAAAATTTCCAAACTGATAATATTCAAACGAGTTCACCAAAATCTTGCTCTTCAGTTATGACATCCACTGCTTAAAAGAATGACATAAACTTGAGAAAGAAACAGATGTCTTTAGGAGGCATAACGAGTTAACAAAAAATGGATACATGTAATTAAATTAGGTGAAGCGAGAAACTACTTAATGATGCGGTGCCAGAAAATAAAGCAATCTTTTAATAACCAAGAAGAGAACTTTTAGAAGGACTTTCAGCAAGCAGTAGGTTATACGGCTACTCTACTAACTTTAAACTTCCAGATCAGCTCTGAGTAACCGTAAAAGACTGTCAGATGACTTTTCATCCGTCTACTGTCTAACCTAAAGAATCGCAATTAAAGGTTAAAATAAATCTTATTTATTAACACATCGACCTAGTTCCCCAAGTCCAAAGCTTAACAGTAACAGAGCTCCGCTAGCCTGTGGGTAACCCGATCACGCGTTCAGATTAAATAGAATGCAAAGTAAAAAATTAACACAACTAAATATTTATACTTTATTAATTTATACTTTAATTAATTTTCATTCTGTTTAAAGATGAAAATAGTAAAACTTATAGTAAATCCAGATTATACGACAAATGAGTTAATTAAAACAAAACCTTATAAACAGCCCCTTTCCTCCCCAGAATTTAAATAATTCAAAAATAAAGGTCTTAATCACTTTGATATACAAAATTTTGATTATACCTAATCTTGAAGCAAGGCTTTTATGTAATTCAGAAGTGTATAAGGTATTTCTTCCGCCTTCCTAGCGTGCCTTCGTGGTGTAGTGGTTGTGCACGCTGGGCCGGTATTGCAGAAGTCCGTGGTTCGATTCCCGGCGAAAGCGATTACTCATTTTTCATCTGCCTGCTTCCAAAAATACTTAATGTCTCTACAGCGAGCCCGAACTAAAAGGGTATTGGATGAGGATTCTCCACACCCAGGATTTGGCGATTGGGTCCCCTAAAAACTCCAGTCGCCTTTAAAAGGAGGAGTATATAAGGTATTTCTCCCGCCTACCTAGCGTGCCTTCGTGATGTACTGGTTCTGCAAGCTGGGTCGATATTCCAGAAGTCCATGATTCGATTCTCGGCGAAGGCGACTGTTCATTTTTCATCTTGTCTGCTTCCAAAAATACCTAACGTCTCTAAAAGTGCAAAACATTCTTTGATGCTCAGCAAGTCCTTCCAGTTTTCCTGCAGAAAAAATTGTGTAGTATATCGAACAATAAATATTTTATGAACTTTTTGATGCCATCAAGATTACTTATCAACATTTCTTCTATATTTACAAAGTCATTTACACATTCATTACTTTAAGCTCTACAGCTTAATGCGTGTGTAAAATAACTATGTGTCTCTATTACGTCGTACACACCTCTACCTACTATTGCAACTCATAACTGGCTAATTTATTTCGACACACTATATCTCAAAGATCCAAAATCTACTTCAAAAATCCAAAAGCCTACTGTATTTTCGCTTTAATA